CTTCAATGATGACTGTAGATTTGACACTGTGTCCTGTGAGCTATTTTTTGTTCATGATTTAGATATGACTCAGAACAGCCCAAATTACATGTATAGTAATTATAGAATATTATGTAGTTCCAGAATGTAATCCAGAGCATATAAAATATGTCTAGAATTAGATTATATAAATAACACTTACAATAAAACTCTGCATTTAAGTAGTCATTCAGTCCCATTGAAGTTAGTAACACCATTTTCACTGACTCTGGTGGTTGTAGGATTGGATTCTGTTTCTGAGACCACAGAAATTTAATGTTTGATGGTAAATAGTAATTACATTTTGCAAAGGAAGGGGTAGAATAAATATTTGAAAAATAAATAATGAAATGAAAAAGATAATATATAATATGGCATAAAAGAAAACCCTAAGCCTCCAGAGTTCATTGATGAGCTACAAAATCAAAGGGAAGAAAAAATCCTACAGGATTAGACTCTCAAAGAATTAAAAATGCATTGTGAATCAGGATAAAAAGTTCTTGATCCTAATGGATAAATGGAAATACCTCATACTATGGAAGTTTTATTATTAAAATTCAGAAAGAAAATCCCAAACCCCCAAATGATTCACACCTTCTTCTTGTTGAAGAATGACATCAGGGATAATTGTATTGTGTTTAATAGTGGATTTGGTGGTCTGTATTCTTTCTGGTCTTGGAAGTATCTTGTTTGTCCTGAGCAGGAGCTAAATGAAAACTAAGTTAAAGGAAAAAAAAAAAAAAAAAAGAAATCCTTGAGAAATTTGTTAAGTTTTAAAAAATGTGTTTCAAACAGTGTTATATTGAATTTATTTCTGTGAAGTTTTAACAAAAAAAAAGTCTGTGTATGTTTTGTGTGCTTGTGAAAATTGAAACTTTTTAAAGTAGTACAGTCTTTGATGTGAAACAAACACTAGAAATAAAAGTATGGAGGATATAGAAGCATAAAAGATATCTTCGGATGAACTAATGTGTGTTAGATCAATTGTATGTGATTTACACATATGTGTAAAACTATGTTATATTCCACATCATTTTTAAAATCAATTCCTTAATTTGGCTTTAGAAATACACATAGAGTATGCCTATAACTGTTTATGTGGGTCATACAATCAAACATTATCATTGTATTTGCTTTGTAATTCATCTCAGATACTGTGATTTGTTGGCTTTTTTTTTTTTTTTTCTCTTAGTGAAAAATGTTAGTAGAAATGGATCTATTTTTGCCTTAGGTATTGGTAAATGTCATAAACTTTGCTTTAGTTATAGTGTTTATGGGAAATGTATGGACAGAAGTTTCTTGAACTTGGTGCTGTCAGAATGTCTAGGGATAAACATAGTGGAAAAGCATATACTTGAAAATCAATTATGTGTTTATTTTTGCTGGCTAAAGCAAACGACAGTGTGATATATTTTTATAATATGCTACACATTCCTAGGAGTGCCAAATATGCTTAATGATAAATCTTTTTTTTTTTTTTTTTTTTGTCTTGCATATTTGTACCTTTGAATAACACTTTTATATTTTCATTGATATTTCTTTTCAACACTTAGAATACTGAAAGACATTTTATAGGCTATGAAAGAAATAAAACCGCTGTAGAGAATATTAAATTAATAAATGGCAAACACTGGACTAAGAAAATATTTGTGAGAAAAGTTTCAACCTAAATATTAAGAGCAACAAATTTTAATTGGGTTATGATACAACTATAAAGCAAAAGGATTCAATTAGTGTACTGCTTAAGTGATTCTTATTCCAAAAAATTAACTACAGCTTTGGAATGTTAGTTTTTATGTTTCACAATTTTATTGATTTCTGTCGCAAACAATTTAATCGGAGAGGTAAAAGTTCAAATAGCTAGTGTAAAACTTGCCCTGAAATCTGACAGTAGAGCTTGGATTGTATTCACTGCTCATATAAGACATTTAGGTATCCAGGTAACTGATGGACACGTCATTGTACACACCAATTAAGTAGATTAACATTTATATTGTACAAGAAGTGGAAATCTACCTCTCTTCCAGCTGTATTGATTCTTTTGCAAATAGAGGAGGAAAAAAATACTTCAGAAATTTGACATTTTCATATACCTTTATACACCAGCAAAGTTGAAGACACATCTTTTGCAGACATTGAGTTTACCTGTGACTGGACTGCATTGTCACACTTCGAAAATAAGTAAAAAACTCTCATCTGGAAAAGTGGAAATACAATTACATAGTGCAACTGAATAGTAAATTCAAGGAGGACAAGGAGGAATAATATCTAATTTAGGGTTTTGGTCAGATTTTCTCCCTTTTTAATCGTTATTAATTTTAACCATTCTGCCCATAGACCCCAAGCAACTGCAAAACTTGAATATTTCATAGCTTTGTCTCTAGTGAGATACAAACTTGTCAGTCTTCCGTGTCTGAATTGTACCAATTTCACATCTTTAAATGATCACCTCTGAGATTTGATTTACTACAATCTGTTTCTGGAATAGATTTTAACTGTGACTTTTTAAAAATTTTAATTAAAATTGTTTCAATCAACCACTCGGTCGTCATCAGCATGAGAGTAATCACTGAGAAGAGATAGGTTAGTGGGTTATAGTAAATGTAACAGTTAAAAATGTGGAACATTTTATTTCTTACATGCCTTTACAGTTTATTTACATATATTTCTTAACATAAACATCCACCTGAGAGAGGAGGTGTGGTAAAAAGGATAATGCTGTATATTTATCATGAAATGAAATGGTAAGAAGGGAAAGAGTGGTGAAGATACATTATCTGTTAATAATGAGGGCATAGAATTTATCAAGATTTATTAAGTAAAAGAATAAAACCCAAAATATACTTAATCTAGGAACAGGGAATTACAGAAATAACGAATGAAAGATGTAAGAATGCATCCCTATTAAACATGAAAATAGTCAAAATTTAGTGAAGATTTATTTTTAAAATCTAGGCCAGAATGAACGAAAAAGAATAACACAGTTACATTACAAATAAAAAGAGTGGGTTTATAGTCACCAAATTATGCGACCAGTACCTGAAATAATCTTTCCAAAAGAGCTGGAATATGATCCTTTTGTTTCTCAGAATTTCAAAGGGTTTTGAAGACCTTCTTTTTCAACAATCTAAGGCTGTGCAAAGTCCTGTTTATACAAACTACAGAGTAATGTATCCAAAATTAGGATATTTTCTCAGGGTCAGAAATCTGTGCAATCTGAAATATTCTATGAATAGAAGAAAGGTAGTCTGGTTTTATAAATTTGTCATTTTCAAAAGAATGAAGCCTTTTTGCTGCTGAAGTAAGAACAACCTGGATTACTGAGCCCTGTATAAGTGAAGTCAAATTCTTCAGAGGTATTTACTTACTGTGTGGAGTAATTCACTTCTCACTTATCAGAATATATTGAAAGAACATGTGGTCCAAAAACTCAAGGACATATAAGAAACAATAAGTCATATACAGGTTGAGTTTGAAACAAAAGCTAAATTTTGTTTTTGTGAAAGAAAATTGAATTCTGTCTTGAAGTGCTAGAGACACCGGTTAACACCTAATTCTACCACACATCTTCATTCCAAGGTATTATTTTAGTTTGAAAATTATTCCATTACATTAAAAATAAAATGGATTAACTGAAGAATAAGTGCATGTAGCATTCACTTTTTTAATCCCAGTTTTCAATGAAAACTATTCACCAGTTCAGTTCAACTCAACAAAAGCAAGTTTGACAGCATCAGGCACCTACCTTTGGATATAAAATACTCAATTAGTCAAAAGCAGCAGACAAAGGTGTTCATGTTCTTTAGGCCCTTAAAAACTTTAGGTCTGTATTTTTTCACAGTTTGGCAGTCTTTTTTAATAACGGTCTACTAACAATGTCGGGATAAAATTACAAGAATTTGAGAAATGGGATGCACTTATTTAAAACACAAAACAAACCCCAAAATCCCCCCAAACCCCACAACTCACAAATACTGTTAATCTGATTCGTTTAAAATAAAACAGTACAATACGGGATCTCCAAAGGTGTTTTAAGTGTGATTGCTCTGCAGGTGGCAGTTCTGATATATGACTTGAAAACATTTGAAACAGCATGTAAGACAATTTAAAAAAGACTTTGCAAAAGTTATCAAAACTAAACTGATTTTATCAGTGCACTATTTGACTTCACTCATTCATGAAGGCTGCCTTAGAGAAGGAATGGCTAACTCTAGATTCCACCCGTTTCCCTTCAAAAACACTCCTGCTCTCAAACCAGCTGCACTGGCCAAGGGTAACATGTCACAGAAACTTCTTATTCTTCAGTCTTTATTCCTTCCTTAAGGATATGCTATTCTGGGGTGATTAATATGACAATCTATTGACTTGGAAAACACAATTACTTTTAGAAGTCTCAGACTTCCTCCTCATCTCCAGATGCAATTTTTCTTTTAGATTTTTCTTTCATTTGCTTAGTTTTTTCTTTATTTTGGATTTATTTCAACACTTCACAGTAGCAGAAAAAAAGATGATGTGCCTCATCTGTACATTTGGCAATGGATTAAAAATTACTAGCTGACACACTAAAAATACTAAGATCTGCATTATATGACAACAGCTGAATGTTTTCAGAACCGCTAAAGGTCATTGAACTGAAATATCTGCTAGTTATTTAATAAACTTTGAAGTTTTAGCTTTTTGTTTTGTTAGGGTTTACTCTTCTTGTTACAAGTGTAGTATTACTAATGTTTTGTTTCCTACAATTAAAAGAAAGGAGTCATACATGTATAATTCATTATATTTTGGGACATCATGTATAACTAAACTCACCTTTTTGCCCTGTTTAGTTAGTTGAAGGTAAGGTCTGTTATGGGCATATGACCATTAAGAATCCTTTCTGTTATATTAGTAGACTCTGAAAACCCTGGTGCAGGTTTACCTGCACATTTTAAACTCAAACTTGCAGGAATCATCAACTGCATTTTTTCCTTTTTCTTACTTAGTATTCTAGGCCTTCAAATTCCAGTGAACATTCAAATAGTTTCCCATTGTCACCACAAGAAGTTTGGCAGTGTGTTAACAGACCACATTCATACTCAGCAGAAAATATCCGCTTTCACAGAAGGTAAGTTAATATAATTTTTCATTATATTTAATTCACTTGGATTTGACAAAAATCAAAAGGAGGAGAACTTAAGGCTGTATTCTGATGCTTTTTCTACTTTTGCTTAATATGATTTTATTGGAATTAAAATGTATTTACTTGTTAAAACCAAATATATTAAATTCAGTTGTCATTTTTCATTGACTACCAGAATTAAGAATATAAAGATATATGTGTGTATTTTTATATATCTAGCTTTGATTATAAATCATAAAACATGTTTTTTCACATATATCATGATATAGATGTTGAAACAGAGATTTGTAAGACTAGATAAAGATTAAAAGGGATTTCTTACACAGCTGCATTCTTTTGGAGAGAAAGGATTGAAATATGCTTCAAGTAATTGAAATGTAAACATTTCAAATTGATGGCAGACTTTTATTACTCGCCAAGATAAAGCCTTCCTGGAGTATTAAAATAGATTTTTTTGTATTATGTCCAAGCTTTAAAAGTGCCTCCAAAGGGACAAACAACTTTCAGAATGACAAAAGCTGCAAAATAGTCACCCAGAACCCTTCCTTATTTACCTGCCTTTCCCTGATACTCTTATACTTTGTTTTCAGGTCAGGGAAGGGAAGAAGTCAGCTTCCTGACTGGAAGGAAAAAAAGAAATTTTCATTCATGTCTGAAAGAGAAGAGAAAATTTCGGAAGAATGGTATGTGAAGCTATTTTGTTTACATAGTGACTTGCAAGAATGGACAGAGTATAGTTGGCTGTTGTTGCTTGCTTTTCATAAGTTCAACCTTTCTAGAATCTCTGTTTTTTACCAAAGTAAAAAATATTATAATTCCTTTTACAGTTGTCTGGAAGACCAGCTTAAGAAGTTTCAATAATATAAAGATAAGCATAGCAGCTGAGTAATCAGAAAGTTTCATACCATGCATAAGAAGTACTATGCACTTGTATTCTTTTTGAAAAGTGCATTATACAATATTATGCAGCTGGTGTAACATATGTGAAACGTTTAGTAAGTTATTCTCTTCCCTTAGGGGTTTTAAGGATAATTCTACTGCACAGCTGATGCTGAAGAGGGCCCATAAAATGAAGCCTAAAAAATACAGTAATAAAAGTTTAGGTAAGTCAACAGTTAAAAAATGGTTATATTGATGTAATTTTTATTTTCTTAAATTTAAAATAGCATCTCTCTTTTAAAAAGTTTGCTTTCACTACATTAGACATTAATTTGAATAAAGATGGATTGTGATTCAGTAAAAACAACTCAGTTTAAATCAATTTATTCCAGTCATAAATATTCAAAATTTAAAGAACTTTAATTTTAAAGGATTTTGAAGTTGAATATTTGACAGCTATGCTAAATACAATTTTGTTTCTTTTTGTTCAGGTATCTCTTTTTCTAGATGCGGAATTTATATTTCTGCATTTTGTGATTCTTGTATCTTCCTCTTGCGGGAATCTAGGTTAAAATTATTGGTTTGTGCAAGAACTACTTAAGAAAATGACTGTTTGATACAAATAACATTAAATTATATTTTTAATATTACATATTCACTGTGGAAATAGATCATTCTCATTCAACTTCTCTGTAATTGTCTTCTGGTTCTTCTCGAATACTTCTTATGTCAATGAACTTTTCTTAGAATCATTAACTGTTATGCTAACCAAATGTTAATGGACTATGTTAATAAAATATTAATATACTGATAGTATAAGAAAAAATTTATTCAGCCTACAGATAAGGATAAGAAAGTGTTTCTGTATAATTTCTTTTACTTTGAATATCATGCTTAAAACTAAAGACGACAAAAGAAATCTGTAGTTTAAAAAAAAAAAAATAGATAAGAGGTTAAAGTTATATTTAAATGTTAGCTTCACATCATGACCTACCATGTTACCTAAAAAAAAATAAAGGTAAATATCTGGGGTGCAGCTGAGTTTTTTACGTATGTTCCATTTGGTGGCCTCTGTATCATTTTGAGATGAAAAGAGCTTCTAAGGTCATATCATCTTTTCTCCATATGCTTTCTGGTTTATGTTTGTAGTAATTAATCCAGTCGTAAATGTCTAATTGAGCATATCAGATTTGCTATCCTATTTTTGTTGTAGTTCTAATGGATTGTTTTGATATGTTTATATTAACTTTGTTCAGATTATTCAGTATAGTATATGTGTGTTGAGCTTTTAAATGCATCACTTGGAATATTCTCAAAGTATATTACTAGTTTTAAAAATTTAACAAAACTTTTGCACAATGTTTTTATATGTTCAAATTTTCTCTTCTTGACACTACCTCATATAGAGATGTTCTGTATTTGATTATTACATCAAGCACAGAAATTACCTGTATATATAATTTTCCTGTATAGAGTTCTCTGACAGTCATTAAAATCACAGGCTTTTTTTTTTTTCAGATAAACAAAAAGTGTAATTTCCAGAACCAGGAAATATGACTGAAAATATTGCACAATCAGTCCCTTTCCAGTACAAAGATTATGAAGTCAACTATTCTTTCTCATACAGCACACTGACAGTCAGTCCTTCCTTGGTCAGTAAGGACCTAATAGACATTATGAATTAAAACAAGTACTTTTATCTCAAACTGTTGCTAAAATTCAGCTGTTGCTCTAAAAAATTGCCCTGATGGAGTACTCACCATGTGAGAAGAATCTCCACAATATATAATTACAATTTACGTCAGCTACCTCCTCTGAAGTGGGGAGAGCAAGTTGGGGTCTTGTTGAGGGTCTAGTTGAACAGAGGGACTTTTACAGCATTTAAATTATATCTATACCTTATCCCGAGGCTAGCCAGCTCCAGATCAGGAAACTGTAATGAGATCCATTAGGTTGCCAGTATCTTTCCTGAATCTCTGTGTGGTACAGTTCATGCTAGAATACTTAGAGCAATTCCAGTATAATTAGAGAGAGAGAGATAGAGTTTACAATCTTAGGCTATTGCTGTGAGTTTAACCCTGATGAAGCAGGAATTCCATAAGACTTTATTCTTTCTGATATTTAACAGCAGAATGAAATTAATCAGAATAAGTGGACATCGTCTTTTAATTTTACCACAGAAATTTGCTTCCTATCACCTTCATCTCTTCTGAAATGAGTTTCTTCCATCTTGTACTTACTGAAGCTGCATATGAAATGTTGTATTTCTGTTCTTTCTTTCGAATTTCTGGGTCCTCAGTTCTATAATTGCAACTGTTTCCTTTTTAGCTTTCTGATTTAAAATACTAACTACAGTAAAATAATTTATTGTGATAAAGATTCCTACCCGTGAGAAAACAAGTAACCAGCATCCACTTAAAAGTGTGAAATATAAGGTGTAAAAAAGCAATTTTCCATGTTATACCCATTTACTACTACACATCTGACTTAAGAGCAAAACTTTTAGATCTGAAAAAAGCAAAGCAACAGCAGCATCTAAAGGTCCTAGATACAAATTAATTATAACATATTAACAAATAAACGGATAGGTTTTATGCTACGATTTCAGCATCATCCCAAACATCTTTTATGTGCTATGGATCATTCCATGGCAATGATCTTAGCTGCAAGTAATGGTAAGGTACTGATGAATTTTGTAGGAACAAATGGCCTGTCAGAGTATGCTGTCTGCTTCTATATGCTATCAAAATCCTTTGCCTTAGGCCTGAGATTCACAAACACAAAGTATTAAATCAGCTTCAATTCATAGAGTTTTGCAGTTGCACTTTAATATAGTCAAGACATCTGCTGGATTGGAACTTGGATTGGACAGTATTGAACATCTTCGATTCTTAACATGCTCAGCTGTGGGAATTTATTCATTTTAATTTTCCATCTAAAGCATTTGTCTTCTCCTAGTGCAACAGTGATATGATTCATTTGGTTGATTATAGATGTTGACATCTGAGCTAGTCATCTGCATTCTTTTATGGAAAGAAATAGCTACCTTAAATACTATTAATTGCCTCCTAAAACATGATTCAAAAACAGGCAACTTGAATCTCACTGCCTAGACACAGAACCTAGAACTGTCTGAAGTACAAAGTTAAACTATAGATATCTATAAGTAACTGAGAAGTATCTTACCTCATTATATCTGGCCACATACCTTCTCAGTAGTGAAAAAAATGTGGAAAATACTAGCAAGTGCACTGAATCCTGTGGTTTGTGTTACAAGGAAAAGCTTAAAGTAGCATAACCTTATAATAGGAGTGATTCAGGCAATGCTTATATTGCAGTAGACCAGCCCCACCAACTAATGGCCTTAAGGCCTGTTATGCCCTAATCCACTACAGTTATGTATGCTTGTTTATGTAGTTAAATAAAGTTGTGGCCTGTATTTTAACGATACCAAATGTAGACTGTGTCTGCTTCAACTATTTTTACTCTACAGTAAGATAATACAGAAAGTGTGGGCAGGAAACTAGAAATTTTGCAGCCAAATAAAACGGGCATAATGTCAGAAATATTCCCATTTATCATGGGTGAACAAAATTCTATAGAAATTCTAATTAACAATCTAAATACAGCAGTTGTTAATGCACCTCACACTGCTTAAAAATAAAGCATTGTGACTCATAACAATCCTAGTTTCCTCAAGATGTGTTGGCACAGCAGTAGAGAATTTCTTGCTTAACTTTTAACTTCCTTTATTCTGTGGATTTTATATTAGCCTCTGAAAGTTAACTTCTTTTTCTTTTGTCTGAAAGCCTTGTCTTGCTTTCAGCTTGTCTCTCCTACAATTCTTGTTTAACCATTTCCTCTCCTCTCTTGACAGTGACTGACAGCAGGAGCTGGTAATTCTCTCTGTCACATAAGTAGGGAAAAAAAAAAAAAAAAAGGTAAAAAACAGCTGAAGTGAGCCTTGACGTCTAGAACCAGAGCAAAATGATAAAGATATTTCATAGAGGTCAACAAACATTTTTTAGTTCCAGTGTAGAATTTAAGACGGCAATACTAATTAAAAAAAACCCCAACAAACAGAAAAACAAAAACCCCAACCCACACCCCTCAAAACACACAGCCCCTGAACAGATGATCTGACTATATAACATTGATTTATTGAATTAGTAACAGTTGGAATAAAAATCTGGGGGTACTATTATTCCTCATTACACTTTACATAAATGACCACTGATTTATATTTTCTTAGTAGCAGAAAGTAAGTTATTTTTGTTGTTGCATATTCGATGAAACAGTATCATCTGGGAACTCCAGACATGGATGAGTTGGAGTTCTAATTGCTGTTCAATTATGGAACAAAATGTAGTCTTTCTTCCATAATTAATTTACAAATTGAATTATCCTATAGATAAGCATTTGTCACTATGTGCTACTTTCATTTACCAACTCTTTAATGTTGGTACAAATATGTTTATGTTTTTCTAATTACAGATATTGCACAAAAAAAGTGAGTGAAAAAAATTTAATTTTTCAATTTCATATATTATCAAGAAGTTGTTTAGCAAATGTGGTGCCAGATCAAGCAGTAACTATTCCTCCCATATTGTTTCTATATCTTTTCTGTGTTCATCCAACTTATCTTCTATATTTGGAGTCAGCCAAGAAATGTGCATTAAATTACCTCTCTGGTTCCTAGATTGCCAGCACAGATCATCGTCTAATAAGCCACATTTAAATGAGTATGCCGTAATCCAGGAAGGTATTTGTATGATTTTGAACTATTGGACTCTTTCACAGTTCTCTGTGTGAAATCTAAAACATTTGATTGCTTGTCATCAAAGCATAGATGCAGTTCATTTCCCTCGCTCACTCAGAGACTGAAAAGCGCTAGTATTATGAAGTAATCTAAGTAATATTGCCTACATTTGGGACTAGATAAAGCAAAGGACTCTTTTTTAATAACAAAAGAGCTGTAGGCAATGGTTGAGGTGATCCAGGTAGGTACAAATTCAAGTAGTCTGGCACTGTGTTAAATCCCTGTAGATTATTTAAGTTATTTTGCAAAGACTCAAAGATAAATCTTCTGATAGAAATCTCTTAGAAGAACAATTTCTACCATTTCCCTCTCTTCCCAGTTCATGGACCTTCTTTACTGCTGCTATCCTTGTGCGCAAATAAATGAAAAAATCTATTTTGGCACTGATAACTTCATGTGACTTCATCCAGAATTCCTTGGTGTAGTTTAAATTTTGACTGGTTGGAGTTTTCATAGAATTAGGTGGGAGGATGAATTAAGGAAATAGTACATTTTTAAAACATTTTTGAACAATTTTAATAGACCCACATGGGAAAAAAGTGTTAAAAAAGTTAATCAAAAATAATTTGGGAATAATCAATCGCATTTTGTCTTAAGAGGTTGTAATCAAATTTGTCACTTTGTCTTTGGTCTTCTATTGAAGAAAAAAACTGGGTTTTAACTAGCATAAAGCTAAAATTTAGAAGCCTTTGTATCAACACTGAATGCTGGATGTTGAAAAAATTGCAAGTATAAAAATTATTCTGTATATTTTTATCTATGTGTAGTACTCATATGGCAATGTGTCTTACAACTATAGAAACCACAATAATAATTCATGTGTACTTAAATAATTTTTTATAACTTCTATTACATAAAATTTCAGACAGAACTTCTAAAATATAATGTATTACTATTTCAGGATATTTTAATCACAAATCTTACTGTGACCTACTGCCCCAAACACTAGCTACCATGAAGAAAACTAGGCTGCTACGAATTTATTTTTGAGTTGAGAGGGATACCAAAATAGGCCTACTTTATCCTATGCAAAGTGAAAATACCTATGAACCTGGTAATCCAGTTTGTGAACAAAATGATCCCGCTTTCAGAATCATTCTAATGTTCTGCCTTTAAAACTAATGTAGCTAATCATTATTTATTGTGCTTCTTCTGTCATTTCATTGAAATTACTTTAAATCTAAGGCCAACTGGAGGAGTTTCAATAAGGCCAAATGCCAGGGGCTGCCCTTGGGCCACAACAACCCCCAGCAGCGCTACAGGCTTGGGGAGGAGTGGCTGGAGAGCTGCCAGTCAGAGAGGGACCTGGGGGGGTGATTGACAGCCGGCTGAACAGGAGCCAGCAGTGTGCCCAGGGGGCCAAGAAGGCCAATGGCATCCTGGCTTGTGTCAGCAATAGCGTGGCCAGCAGGGACAGGGAAGGGATCTGACCCCTGTACTCAGCACTGGTGAGGCCGCCCCTCGATTCCTGTGTTCAGTTTTGGGCCCCTCACTACAAAAAGGACATTGAATGACTCGAGTGTGTCCAGAGAAGGGCAACGGAGCTGGTGCAGGGTCTGGAGCACAGGTCGTACAGGGAGCGGCTGAGGGAACTGGGGGTGTTTAGTCTGGAGAAGAGGAGGCTGAGGGGAGACCTCATCGCCCTCTACAGCTCCCTGAAAGGAGGTTGCAGAGAGATGGGGATGAGTCTCTTTAACCAAGTAACAAGTGATAGGACAAGAGGGAATGGCCTCAAATTGCACCAGGGAATGTTTAGACTGGATATTAGGAAGCATTTCTTTCCAAAAGGGGTTGTTAGGTGTTGGAATGGGCTACCCAGGGAGGTGGTGGAGTCCCCATCCCTGGAGGTGTTTCAGAGTTGGGTTGACTTAGCGCTGAGGGATCTGGTGTAGTTGAGAACTGTTAATGTTGGGTTGATGGTTGAACTGAATGATCTTCAAGGTCTTTTCCAACCTAGACAGTTCTGTGATTCTATGAAATCTGACATCTTCTGGGTTAATCTGGAAGCTATAATTATCATACAACACAATGAGAAAGGTTCTTCTAGACAATTGTGGAGGTTTGAACTCAGACGGCAGCCAGACACCACATGGCTGGCCATTCACACCTCACTCCCCGCTCTGGTAAGACAGGGGAGGGACAAAAGAAGAGAATTCATGGGTTGAATAAAAAGAAAGAATTTACTAAATATAACAAGAGAACAAGAGTAACAGTAGTGAGTTCAAAAGAAAATGCGTAAAAGACAACAGTGCTTGCCAAACTCAGCAACCGCCCCCCACAGCAACAATACTTGTCCAGTGTCCAACGTGCAGACAGCATGCGGCGAGAGAGTGAGCCTGAGAGCGAGCCCCACCCCACCTGGGCATGAATGGTATGAAATACTCCAGTGAAAATTAACTCCATCCTGGTCAAAACCGGGACAACAATTTGAGATAACAAAGTGTAAGGTATCGCTAATTCTACCTTGGGAAGAAGACATGGCCTAAATTTCTTCCATCTGTATTTTCCAATTTCTTCATTAGCCAAGTCTGCTGCTTTGTAAGAGATTAGCACCATTAAGAACATTGTCAGCCAAATGCTTCTGCTGTATGGGCTGACCAAGAATACCATAACATTTTGATGTGTTTTGTCAATGCATTATCTCTTAAAGTATCCACATCTCATTAGAGATCTTCTCTGGACTTCTAAGGCAAAGATTCAGTATGTCTGCATCATCTTGCTTGTGTCAAGAGAGTATTCTCTGGAAAAAAGTGGAGCTCTTAGGATCCCTTTATGTTCCATTAGTTTGTAACAGAAACATCTACTGCAAGCATAGAGGTCTAGTCAAAACCAACTTTATAAATTGCTCTTAAACTTCAAAAGAAATTGCCCACTCACTTAACGGGGCATTCTGATCCTTTATTTCCATAAATAAGGAAGTCAAAATTTAGAAAAACTACTTTGCTGAAGTATTGTAGATGCTCTTGTAAAATCTCTCAGTGCCAGCAAGGCCATGTAACAAGCTCAAAATGAAGCCTCAGATGTAAATAGTGATGTAAATTTATTCTGTCTGAATGCTTTTTGAGTCTTTCCATCTGTTTTCCTGCTCTATCTGTTCTGGCAGTGTCTCACATATTCATTTTTGCCACACTTCCATTCATTGTGAAAATTTAGATCCTTTCTTCACCATATCTACTTTCTTGCTAAGTTCTGTTGCTGTTTTCCCTCTTTATTTTTACTAATTTATACACTTTTCTGATAGTTTGTAGTCACCTTTGTAGACAAATCTCTTCTGCCTCATTGTTTCTCAGATATTTCTGAGCATGTATTTGTTTGCTTGTGCTATTGTCTTCTTTTAACCATGTGAAACATATTTCTTTGATTTTTCCTTTGGCTTTCTGTTACTTATCATGCTCAGTGTCATACCTACTATATTCTATTGCTTGTCATTATGTTATCTGCTTTTGTTTCTACATTCTTCTAAGTCTCCCCCCCCTTTTTTTTTTTTTTTTTTTCTGGCTGGTTTATTCTGCATTGTGCATAGAATTCTAATTCACAGTTTCTCTTAAACTCCTACTTTCCTCCTATGTCAAGCAAACATTTCTTCCTTCACATAAGAAATCAGGCATGAAAATCACCTTTCCTGACTTGTGTGGTTTTGCATTAGTTTAGCTTTTGTTAATTAAACTTTATATTTTTGAACAGTCTTAGAACATGTGTTGTCTAGATTATATGTAATTCTGTGCTCATCTTTGCTTCTTTGCAGTTTTCAAAATAACTTTTGGAACTAATTAAAATTTCACACTGTGGCATGTAGAGGACTCTATAGATTAGGAGGTTTTTATTTCAATAAAGATGGGACATGGAAGAAAGTTAGCATATTGTCTGCATGTTTAGCCTTAAATAATAAATTGCCTTCTGTTAAAATTAGGTGTAAATGACTTGATTTAGACTGTTGAATACTTCTGAACCTAAACTTTTAGAAACAGTGCTTGGCATATATTCTGTTAATATTTCTATTTTAATTTCAAGCTCTAAACCCATAATTTTTAATATTTTCTGCAAATACGTGCTTTAGAATTTATTTTTAATTTGGAGATGAGGTAGCTAAAAGATCAACATTGTTAAAAGTCCTGCAAAATAGTGACTTTGATTCTCAATTGCACATATACTTGTGTTGCTTTATGTTAGAGAGTGTAATGCTTTGTGAATATAAAACCTACTTTTAAAAGTATTTTCATTTATTAAGTGGCTAAAAGGTGAAAAACTGCTTGAAGGAATGAATGAGCCAGGTCTGACCTTTGATTTTAACTTGTTCTTGTCATCTAGACCCAGCTGTGCGCCTGGCGTTGTTCAAAAACCATGAAAATAAACATCTCCATGTGAAACCACCGAGGAAGACACAGCCTATAAATGCTGATTACTTTGAAGGTATGAACAAGTATTTCACTTTCTCTCTATGCATATAAGCATATATATCTTGTAATGTCTTTTAAGGAAGCCTGCTTGAAATGTAAAGCAATATGCACAAATAGAAGGCAGCAGCATTTTAAGGTCCTTATCTGTTCCTGGGTATCTCAAGTTACAGCAGTGAAACATTTCCATTTCAATTCATTGGTGAGGGTAGGGGGTGCTTCCAGAGATTAAGTCATAATGAACTGGTGCCTATTATTTTTTTTTTGTTATTATTATTAAATCTCCATCATAAAAATAGTAATCATAAATAAAGTCAAAATGTGTCACTGAGGTATAAAATACAAAACAGTAGAATAAAATCTTGTGAATGGTATGTCACTTCAAATTCTTTATTTCATTGTCACCTTGTCTCAAGCTAGCCATTAATTCTTGATAGTTGTTAACATGTTTTTAGGAAGCTACTTTAATAAATATTCCCTAAAAACCCCACCACTTGACAGAAAACAAGAAAATCTTCATCACATAAATATAAAACCGGCTTTCCAAAAACATTTAAATACTGACATAGCTCTTTTACTGATGAAATTCATGTTAAAACTCCCCTTGGTTTCAGCACAATTAGAATAAGGCCAAGTCTATTTAAAATACCCTTGTTGTAAAAAGCCGAGCATTTACAGAAGCATTGTTTTTAGACTGTTTTGATTCCTTTTGCAACTCAATAATACATTCATAAAGTTTTCACCTCTGTCTTTTTATCTTTTTCAAAGACATATCCATATGCTATCTGATTTATTCCCAATCCCACAAAGTAAAATTAAAAATAATAATACTACATTAACAGTCTCCAAATGAGGATAGAAATTAGAACCTGAGACAGGTGTGCAATCAATCTGAGTATTCCTGAACTGCAATTCAATTAACCTAGCTATATGAAAGTCCAGGTTTACCTCATATTCATGACCCCATGCTCAAATTTGATTGGAAACAATTCTTGGTGAATTCTGAAGAGGAAAAATGGTTGCACTATTATTTGCCTTGGATCCAAGAATGAATTTACCTAGAATATAGAGTCTGTATATACTGTGCCTGACTCGGTATTCCCAGTGTCTTGTATCTGTTTCCGTGGCATATGTTTATATGCCAGAATGCATTATATGCTGAAAAAATAGGACACGCAGACTGCCTGCAAAACACTGGATGCCCAAAGCCTACATGCACTAGTGTGAATGTTCAAAACCACGTGAAAGACATAATCTTGATCCCAGGCTCAGTACCCTGAAGTCAGTTTATGTTTAGCTTAGCTTTCCTGACACCAGTTTATCTGCTCCTCCTGACTGGTGACAATTCCTTCATTTTGGAAAGCAAACCTATGCATTCTAAATATTGCTGAAATGACTTTTTGAATACATGGAGAGAAGGCAGTGTAACAGGTTAGTTTTCAAAAGGCAAGCACTGTAATGGCATTCCTGTTTATCTTTCATATCAAGGACCATTGTACTACTTTGGCTAACTAATAAACAGAGATTTTTTTTCAGCAATCTTTTGCTGGGTGCTTACATGCAATCTGCTGAGCCTTCAAGACAAGCAATACTCTTCTGCTTGAACAGAATATAAAATTGTCCTTCTACCTGAGGCATGGGTACTTCAGATGATAGGCCAGAAAGCACTAGTTTGTGAATTAGAACCCAGAGTGCAGCACAGAGCATTTATTTATGTATAAGTGAGATACCATTAGACAGAACTAAGAGTTTCTAAATTTATAATTTGGTAACACTTTGCATGTTATCTACTACAAGCAAAGCACCTGCATGATAATTTAACAGAGTTGTTATCAGACATTTCTTCTTCACTCACAGAAAAGCGTGTTTCCCATTTCCCTTCTCTCACCTTTTGACCATTTCTCCCTCTTTTGCCTGGAATAGATTTCTTTGGGTCTGCTCTGCGGTGGGAGTTCTTTCTGTAACAAGAAGGTGGAATGTTTTCACTCTGTATCCATAAATCTTGTGGACACATATTTTAAGTCAAGAGAGAACACAGACCAGTCCATTGCATGGTAGAAAAAAACTTCCTCTATTCAAACTCTTTTACAGACTAGTAGTCAGTGGTCTGGTAGAAAATTTGAACTCTAATCCATCTCCTTCATAAACCACTGAATCTGGGGGAACAAAACAACAACAACAAAAAAAAAAAAAAAAACAAAACCAAAACAAACAAAAAACCACAACAAAAAAAACCACACAAAAAAAACAAGCACATTGTCAATATTCCTGCTTTATTTCTTTAAACTGGGAAATGGGTGGAAAAAACAGCATCAACAGCAAGGACACGTGTTATCTGTTAAATAACAGAATCACTACTTTGGAAAGGGGATGCCCTCGGAAGTGAAACAATTAGAGCAGTTTTCGATTTTCAAACTGGAACACATCATGGTAGTGAATATTTAAGAAATAATCTAGTTAAAATGTACAGTTAATGTCTTTCGTCTTTATTGTGTCTTTTAGTTTGTGTTTAAAAATACAAGTAAAAAAGGAATAAAAATAGTGAAATGGATCGAGCTCAACATCTGATGCTTGTGTGTTTCTGAGAAAAAAGTTATATTCTGTCATCATTTGCCTTCTCATCTAAGCTACTGCATCATACTGACACTGTTGTGTCATGCAGCATCTGTAAAGGAATATCTAGACTAAGTGACAACATAGAGTTGATGCAATATTCAACTGTTTTCCCATTACAAAAATTGTGATGAGCTGATATGCAAAATTCTGATATCCAATTTGAAGACTTTAATCCCATGGGACAATTCAGATATCTCTAAATTCACATGCACATTGTAGGAAAATACATTTTCAAAATTTGTGTGGCATCATAAGTTTTTATTAAATTTAAGAACAGTCATAATGCTTTACTCACTGATGCTATAAAAATCCCCACAGGGGACCATTATTTCACATTTGTATCACAACAGCACATGGAAATTAGTCAGAGACAAACCTCTTTGTATAACACACCTAATCAACAGCATGAGGAGACATTATTCTGACAGACAAGAACTTACCATTTAAAAACAGAAGCAACATGTGAAGGCATGAACCATGGGAATGTAATTAAATGTGTGTTAGTGTTTATATGTGTATGTGTCAATACATATACATACAATGCATGTATGTTCACACAAATATATATACATGTACCGTGAGTGTAAGTTGGTATGTGAATGCAATAAGCATAGCATTTATGCTTTTTTATTTATATATATTTTGACAGGAAAGTAAATAATGAACAATTTACTCTGTGGTATAATTTGTAGAATCAACGTACATTTTTTAATCCTAACGCTTTTTGTCTAGACGCTGTTTCAGTTTCTTTAAAATTAGATACATGCAGTCATTGTATAATACAGATTCATTAAAACTATTTTTAAAATAAATATTTTTGAATCTTAATTATGTATTGTGACATTAACATTAGTAGGTTGTAAAGTAAGCCACAGAATATGCAAGTGTAAATATGCTTTTACTGCTCTTATAAAAACTTAAAGGGAGGTGAAAGCCTGACTTGACGTAGCTTCACTTGTGATTGATATCCTGGATGTTTCCTGGGTTTATGTATATTACACTGCTTTTTCTGGTGTGATAGAGTTACACTTCCAGCACAGTTGTTGAGTTTCCGTTAGTGCTAGTTAGTTGACAAATAAAATATGCATGCTTACTGTTTTAATTAACATTCTTGGAGATTTTTGTATGTTTTGTAAACGGTGACATTTCAAAGATCTCAAAATTTTGGAAAAAGAAGGGACACCAATATTTTCATCATTTCATATTTTGCTGCAAAGCATATTTTTAGAAAGCTTTATGACTGCTTCTCCTCTTGTTGTCTGGAGGCTATTTCAGTTATTGATTTAACATAAAATATTATTGATTATTTTAGATAAAATAGATCAGAAATTGAAGGAAGAATCTGTCCTTAACTCCTCCTTTTTTCTCGGAAAGTTCCAATTAGTCCTGGCTGAATGTGTAACAGAGCATCTCTTTCAGCTGTGGATCTGTAATTCCAGAGTTTGTAATTTTATTTACAAAGAGGAAGGATACCTACTTTTCCAACTAACAGTGTGAATGATTTGTCCTGGTGCAGTAGCTTAAAACTAAGGGAGCCCTGAGGCCTAACACATTGTTTTGCTACAAGCTTTAGGAACAATATATATCTTTTGGGATTCTCTTTAATCTATCTACCTCAACAATTCTGGTGTGTTATCCAAATAATGTCTGTTCAGTGAAATAGCAACCTGGATTCTAGTCTGTAGAGCAAGTTGGAAGAATGCAGTAGATCAGATGAGAGGCCAATCAAACTATCCAAGTATTATTTGGGTGTGATTCACTTAGTTTCTCAGAATTTCATAGACTATGCTCTAATTAATTATATAGCTTAGGTGATTTATTGGCACATATAGTACATTTATTTTTAGTCATATCCATATCTATCAGCGGCACATCTATACCATACACTTCAAAGAACTGGAAACAATACAACTTAAATTCAGTCAGGAATGTACATGATGACCGATGCCAGGAAGTCTAACTATATTAAAAATGCATTGGACTATGTTGTCAAGATATGTTTAGTGTGGTTTGAGAACCTGTAGTTCTAATTGGCAGTACTGTATTCCCTGTCATTTTATGCTTATTGGTGACTAAAGAAAACATAATAGGTATAATGTTAAAACAGATTTCAACAATACAAATTTGATAATGAATAGATTATGCTTTCTCAGGTGGCTTTTAATTATGGAAATATTTATTCATTTTTCTTTAAATTGTCAGTAGAAATAACATTTATTTTTCATATGGGAAAAAGAATGAGGTAAAATGATCTTGTGATTATGTCATATGATTGGAAGATAAATATCAAGGATCCGTTTAAAGTCGTCGTTTTCCAGCTTTCTGATAGTTCACAATTATGAAACTCCTTGTAGTCTCAAGTGAAAAATGTTGCAACACATTCCTATAGATCATTATTAC